AATGTCTTGTAATCGCTAATAGTTCTTCATTTTTTCTTCTAAGTTATAGCCGATATTTAGGCTAAATAAAATGATTAGGTTATATATTATTTATATTGTTGATTTCATTAACACTATTGTTGATTTTCTTGTTGTTGCCGGTATGACAATAATATAAAAAGCCTAAATAATAAGTTAGCAAAATAATGTCACTTAATATCGGTCACAACTGACATATTTAGGCAGAATATGACGTTTTGTGAGTTTCGTGCTGTGAAAGTCAGACGAACACACCTGGAAACATGTTAGTTAGACCTACGTTGGCTCAAACTAATTAGTTAAAAGTATGACAGTTTAGGGAAACGGTCGTATTTCAGATGTTTGTTTGTGTAACGATGCATCGTACCAACATAGTTCAACGTTACCTTACGTGGTTGTTCGGGAAACGCACACCAGCTCAGCATATTCTCACCTGTTTTCTCACCTGAGGACTGAGGGCTGAAGGTGAACAGCTGCACTTTTCCAGAGTAACCATCTGTCAGTTCACACTTCAAGTTAGACTTTGATTTGTTACTAAAATGAAAATCCAGGAAAGACACAGTGGCGTAGCAGTCAGCCTGCCATGTTTTCATTTCTTTGTTATCTTTGTCCACATCTTTACCCTCATACAGCCACTTCACTGTGTGTATACAGGACTGTCCACGTGTCGACACAGAGCACCACAGTGTCACCTTATCAGCGTCCTTTTGTTCAGTCACTGGTGAAGATGGAGATATTGTGAGAGAAAGACAACAAGAGTAAAGTTAACTTCATCACTGTGATCATAATTATTGTAATGTTTCAGTATATTGTTCTAACAAGACAGTTTGAGCTGAAAACATTATGATGGAAATACTCACTGATAATAACAGACAGAAGAACCAGAGAGTCTGGAGCTTGTTGTTGCCATGATTTAAACTGTCTGCAGGTGTAATGACCAACATCCTCGACTTTGACCTTCTTTATAACCAGAGAACAGTTCTCTGTAACACTCAGTCTGTCTGATTTAGCTTTGGCGTCTTTGTGAATCTGCCCAAGTTCAACCAGCTCTACTGTTGATCTGCTTCCTGAACCATCAAAGATCCATGTAGTATATTCACAGTTTTTCTGACCGTCTATCACATTTTCACAAGGCAAAGTGACGTCATCTCCAACTCTGACAGTGAAGGAGAGGGGAAGTTTTCCAGCTGCTGCTGTTGAGAAAATGATGAAAAATAAAGTGAAATGAGAAAATGTCTGTTATGTTCATAGTTAGTGACGATTATTTCTTTATCCTTAGTTTCCAAGAGTTCACTAAACTCACCACATTAGAAACAACAGATTTGGTTTTCTTAGTTAAATCAAATGTAGCTAATAAAGAATCTTTAATAATATTGATCAAGTTATTTTTTACAATGTGCCTTCCATTTATATATGTGATATATGTATTCTTACCTGTAAACTGAAGCACCGCTGGAAGAAATAAAGAAATCCATTTGAACTCAACCATCATGATTCTCTGAGTCTCTCCTTCTTCTGTCTCTTGTTCTCGTGCTCAGAACTGTCTGAGTTTCTAAACTAGTGCTTTAGTAGAGAGACGCAGCAGCTACTTCCTGTGGTTAGGATGATGTCACTTCCTCATAGTGACTTTTAGTCTGTTTTAGATTTCAGTCTCTCTGAATTTCTTGTCGATGTCCAAACAGCCAAAAACTATGTGACAGTTTTCACTTTTACATTTTTGAAATGTAGTTTTCTCTCATCCACAGTGACTGACAGAGACCCCAAATTCTTGATCAGCAACATGAGATGCAGCCATCAGAGTTCACACTTTGTTCATTCAGGTCTATTTGTGACAATGACGTGTTTCACCAAGCGACAAGAAGAAGAAGAGGAAGTTTTAGGTGAGAAGATTGTTACTTAAGATAAATGTTTGCAATGATACCAAATGAAAATATAAACTAGGTGTTGCCATTTAGGTAAATGCTGTTTCATGAAAGCATTTGTGGTTGTGAACTTTGTTAATTTGTTCTCTCTAATCATCTAAATAAATCAATATGAAAAGCTAGGTTACCATAAAACCCTTTCTTCTTTCCTCTCAAGGTGCTTTGCTTAAATTTCTAAGCCCAGTGAGCCCACCTCCAAAAGATGTCTCCACAGATGAATGTCGGGTGGATGTGCTGCCTGTACAGTGAGCTCTTTCATCTTGTTGGATATTTTTGAATTTTTGTGTTCCTAATTACAGACATAGCCTACAGTATTTTTCCAGCTGTTCATCAGGATGGTGGATGTGTTTTGCATTTAAAATAATTAATTATTATGAATGTGTTTTCATAATAATGATATAATATTTTTGATTAAAGTGTATGGAAAATGACCTGGAGACGTCGATGGCAAAGCCTTTGTTTTGCTGTTGTAAACTGTTACTGTTGTATTAAGTGCTTTTATCATTTTTAAAACATAATTTAAATTTAACTGCTCTGAATTGAATGACAAAATTCAAAAAAGGGCTCATAAGTATAATTCGAAGGAATAAGTATCAGTACAAGCCTTTTTAACGATTTTATAAAGGCACACTATGTTTTTTTAATACTGTAACAATGATAGTTTAAAGTAATAGTAGCAGACTCTTCTTCAAACTGGCCTAAACTTTGTTTTTAAATAGTTTTTAGTCATATTACAAAAAATAAGAGCAGACCTCTTGAGGCCCGTGAAACCTCAAACTGTAAGAATGAAGTGAACAGAGCACTATTGTTTATATTTCTGTGGACAGAAGTAATTTACTTAATTTAAGTAAGATTACTTCTACAGGCTACACACAGCAATATAAACAACTGTGCATGCTCTCTTCACGACGTTCTTGTAAAATACATCCAACAAAAAGCACAGCGCTGCAAAACCCCACTTACCGGCTGTATGGAAGGAGTCCTGAAGGTGCTGCTGAATCAATAAAGGTGTCTGAGAGTGAAGGCTGGATTTTTAATTTCCATGAGCTGTAAGCCATAATGATCAAGATTAAAACAACAAAAGGCCTGAAATATTTCACTTTGTGGAATGAAGCTAGAAAGTTTCACTTTGACTTAAATTATGTAAATAAAAATAACTTTTTCCTGATATTCAAATTTCTGAGATGCACCTGTAGATGCACTATCCACCTTCTTTAATTTAGGGAAATCAGTTTTGAAAAAACAAATGGTGTGTCTCCGCCTCCCTGATGGAAAAGTGACCACAGACCCAACAGAGATGAGGAAGCATAATGGATTACTAACTAGATCATCTTTGTATGAACTTGTAAATGTACTTAATTACACTCCACTACTGGAAGTATTTAAATTCATGTGCAAAAATATCAGTCTGTTCAGTAGATGTTGAGATTTCTTTGAATTAAAAACAAAAGAAACAGAAACACAGACTGACCTCATGATGGCGCTCTGGAGTCAACAGCCAGCAGAGAGCTCTCTCTGTCTCTCACAGTATAGCTTTGTCCCTAACTCTTAACCATCACAACTAAATGACCCAAACCTTCATTGAAATTAAACTTTATTTAATCTTCACCCTAAAACACTCTTTTAAAGGTCTGTCCCAAAGTGAGGACCAGACAAAACGTCCTCACTCCCAAGGTCTCAAACTCTAATTGGTCCTGAAAATTATAGTTATAGACACAAAATTTTGATTTCTGTTACATGTAATCAATAATTATTTCAATAATCTTCAGGCTGTTCTTTGTTCAGCATGTTTGGAGATTTAAAATGTGTCTGTGGACGAACTGAACCTGGAAACTGTGGTCATGTTTGTCCTCACAACATAACATAAAACCATGAAACATTAAATACAAACATTGTAATGGTAAAAAAATCCATCCTCTGTCCTTTCCTAAACACTTTTCCTTGACTTTGATGGAAAACGTCATGAGGTCAAGGAAAGATGTGAAGGAGAATTCATAAAAGACAACCGCGGTGCTCAGAGAACCAGGCTGCACTTACACCAGCTTCTTTTTAACCAACTTTATTTATAACACGCGGAAGATGAGTACAGTGACAAACTCAATGCTGCTCACTTCAAAAGGTTTCCTGTCCAACACAGAATCACACCTCCTAAGAAAGGATGTTTCATTTGGTACATTTAACCATCAGTTAGGCTGCTCATAGGAAGTAACAACAACATAGATACTGCTGAAAAAACAAAAAGGATTAAAATGCTGACACAATATAATAACAAAATCAATATACAAGTAGAGAAAGTTGAGTGAATTATACTCAAACATAAATATAGAGTTTCCTGGGATGGGTGCTTTTGATATTTTTATACATTTGTTAAATAGATGCTCTGTTGTTTCTACAGGTGCATCTCAGTTTTTTAAATTCATAATTATAATTAAAGTTATAAATATAATATATAGAAATTGACCTGAGAATCAATTCAAAACACCTGCAAATGTTTCCTGATCCTTTAATCTCTCAGTCTGCTTCAGTTCAAATAAACTTTTCTAAGATATTGTAATTTTTTTAGATGCTCTTGTACATTTATGGGTGTCTATCGTGGTGAAACTAATGGTGAGTCGCTCTAAAGGCTGCTGTTGCAAGGAATTGTGGGAAAGCATTATCTCCTTTCCTTTCATAAAGAACTGTCCAGTGTAGCCTTTGCTAAAGGAGCTAAGAAAGGAAGCATTTAACAGCCTTTACTTACCATTTAGCATTGTCACAAAAAGTTCACACTTTATTTGTGTCAATGACCCGTTTCACCACATGAAAGGAAGAAGAAGTTGTTGAAGGTGTGAAGAGCTCTGGAGGTGTTAAACCTCTACAGAAATATAGATGTTAAAATGACTGCATATCAAACAATAACAGCAGATACAGAAATAACAGTAAAAACTAATACATGTTTAACTACAACACAGCACTAGCACATTAAAGTGCCTGACAGCAAGTTCATCAAGCTAAATGTCCCATATATTATCATAAAATAATTCAAATAATAAAACATTTATCAGTTCTCAGTGTAAATTACCTGTAATGATATGAGCTGTAACTACACTGTGGTCTCTTATCTGTTTGGTTAGTTGACGGTGGCGTAGAGGTCGCTGGGATCAGCTGAGGCTCCAGCAGAAGAAGAGGAAGCTTTCACGCTGCTGTAGGTCACTGTGTTGTTGTCAGGTAGTCTCTGGTTACCAGGTAAATAAATCACAGAGAAATATTTCAGGTGCGTGTTAAAAAAATAAAAATATATTAATAAAACAGTAAGCGTGTGTGCGTTAAAAAAAATATATTAAAAATAAAATAAAATAAATAAATAAAACAGTAAGCGTGTGTGTATGTTAAAAAATATTAAAAATAAAATAAATAAATAAAACAGTAAGCGTGTGTGTATGTTAAAAAATATATTAAAAATAAAATAAATACAAAAACAGTAAGCGTGTGTGTGTTTAAAAAATAATTAAAAATTAAATAAATAAATAAAACAGTAATTGTGTGTGTGTGTGTGTGTGTGTGTGTGAAAATAAAAATATGTATTTATATATATAAAATGAAATTAAAATAAAGTAAATAAATAAAACGGTAAGCGTGTGTGTTAAAAAATATTTAAAATAAAATAAATAAATGAAACAGTAACGTCTGTGTGTTTTTCATTCTCCCATCACACCAGTTCTGCAATCTCAGTACCAGACAAGCACTTTAAGAGGAAGAACAGGGAAACAAACAAAGAGAGTAGAGGAAGACATGTTGTTGTTGAAAAGAATCTAAATAAGTTAATTTTCAGCAAGGATCCCTGACATTTCTTCATTTTATGTTGTAACCAATGCTTTGTTCCCGACACTTTCTGACACTTCCTTTAGAAATGATATGTTAAGTTCCTCTCATCTGATGGGATTCCTAGGAAATGCTAACCTTAAGGTTTAACTACTGACAATTGTTTTCCTTTTTATCAAATGCTTAAAACTAAGAACGGTATACCCGTTTGACAATTAAGGTCTGATTGTGGGAAGATATTTGATTACAATACGCGCAAATAGATTTTAGAATAGACATATTAAAAGACTCTCAGGAAACCGGAAACGAGCCCTCAGGGGAACAAAGGACTGCCCCTCTGGGAACCACGCCCCAACAAACAAAAGCAGCGACATGCGCTCGCTCTCTTTCCCTCTTCGCTCTTCCCGTGCACTTCGGCATGCGCACAGCGTGCCCCGTCTCCCAGCAACGCCCTAAGAAGTTCGGCCCGGCTTGCCGCGAAAGCTCTTTGTTCGTTTCAAGCCACACACCCGAAGCGCCGCGACCTCGGCTTTTCCCTCGTTTCCAGCAACTTACTAACTTTTTTTATTTCTTTTGTTTGTTAAAAGTTATCAGACCGTTAAGTTACACAATTTTAATTCAAGAACGACCAAGTTCTTTTAAGTTATTCCGTCGAGCTACCTTACACTGCTCCCACCGAAGCCCGGACCCAGCCACGTGGGCCCGCCTTGCCAGCAGTAACCCAAAGGACATCCAAACAGAACAGCCTAACTGCCAGGCCGAGGACGGTCAACACTGGACTGTTTTTCTTCATTCAGACACGGAGAACCTCCGGAAAATTCCCTAGCAGAAAGCCAGGAATCGGGCAGCTAGCGTGGGGACCCGTGCAACAGGCCAAGACAGGCCAGCGACACACAGTAAGGCAAACCAAGGCATTCTGTGATCAGTGATGTCCAATAGTCTGCTGATCCATTATCTTTAGTCCTTAAACTCATAGCCAAATTTAACTGAGTATCATCAACTGCTTTCATTAGTTCTCTTTCTCCCTATGAATCAAATTCTTCCCCAAATTCTTGATCAGCAATATGAGATGCAGCCAACAGTAAAGATGTCAGAGGTCAGAGGTCACAGCAGCCTGACAAAGATCCACCATCTACAAACACATACGACAAAGTCACTGATCACGAGACAAAGGAATATGTTTCTGCACTGAGCCAAACTAACACTGAAACAAACAAACTATATTAAGGCTCAAGTTCACAGTTTGTTCAGTCCGGTGTGTTTGTGACAATGACGAGTTTCATCTCCTTAAAAGAAGAAGAAGAGGAAGTTGACGTGTGAAGATTGTTGGTTAAGATAAATGTTGTTTTCTTCAGAACGTGTCACCCAGTGCAGCAGTGAAGGTCACTGACTGGTTTTAATAGTACTTTTCGTGGGATTTGTTGAAAATAATAAAAATATTGCTAATCATCAGATTGTTCCTTTAATCAGTCAGGTGTCATTCTTCACTGTATAAAGTTGTTTTCCTGAGCTAAATGTGTCACTTTACTTAAAGCAAACAATTACGTGTTATAAGTTCTTATAATTAGTTCATATGGTATCATGTCCACCTGTAATATATTATACAGGGATAGATATTTTAACACTTAAAGCAAACAAAGACACGCTATATAACATTAAACATTACTATAAGTTATTATTCCATTTTATATCACTAAGTCTAAACGGTGACTAAAGTGTATTCATAAGGAGGCAGAGTCGGTGGTTATAATGTGTTATGGAACATGGTCGGAGATTGTTAAACTGCTGTTACTATTAGTTATAAAACATTAAATCAGAAGGTCATAATACGTTATGAACTTTGCTATAGCGCCTAATGCATGTTTGTAAGTGATTATAACAACTATTATAATGTCTTATGGATGCATTATATCGTGTTATAAATATATGCATAAGTCATTATAGCGATGACCTTCATAGAAAGTGATACAGTTCAGTGTTTAAGTTTTAGTTACATCTAGTGGGTAACTAAAACTCAGATGGTCATTCTTCTGACTTCAGTGTGTGTTCATGTGCTCTTAAGTCTGAATGTGGAATCAACAAATCTCATTTACACTGGAGACATGTGTCCCCACCACATTTTGAAATGGCTGATGTTGTTCTGAAAAATAGCTTGCACCAAGAAATGTGAACTAACATAAAAATGCTTTGAGAAACGTTTATTTGCAATTTAAATATAGAAAAAACAAATGTGCATTGTCCAAAAATTGCAGCTGAATACTGCATCATATTCTGTTATATTTTTATACATTTACACCTTTAATTCTCCTAATTTCTTTTATACTATTACAGCAGTGGTTTTAATTTTTATTACAGTTTTAATTAATTTAAATGGTCGGGGGGGCAGACGCCATCACTATGAAGTTTTGGTAAAAGCTGAACTGGAAGCGCAGAGAAGTGTGTAACACTCTGTCTCCTTAAGGGGGCGTTCAAGTTGGAATTTACGACTGGAAACTGGGAAAATCCAACTTCATGTGTCAAATGCAGCATTATTACCTGCTGTTCTGACTCTGCCTGCCTGGATCAAGTAAAACTGAACTTGGTCTTTATATTTCCTGTCTCTGACACGTGGAACGGCTTCACCACTGCCAGTTTCCTCTGAAACATGACAGTTAGAATAAACTATATTTAGATTCACACTGAGCCTCAAGTTCACACTTTGTTTTTGTGACAATGACCCGTTTCACCACATGAAAGGAAGAAGAAGAAGAAGAAGGTGCAAAGAGCTCTGGAGGTGTTAAACCTCTACAGAAATATAGATGTTAAAATGACTGCATTTCAAACAATAACAGTGATACAGAAATAACAGTAAAAACTAATACATGTTTAACTACAACACAGCACTAGCACATTAAAGTGCCTGACAGCAAGTTCATCAAGCTAAATGTCCCATATATTATCATAAAATAATTCAAATAATAAAACATTTATCAGTTCTCAGTGTAAATTACCTGTAATGATATGAGCTGTAACTACACTGTGGTCTCTTATTTGTTTGGTTTGTTGACGGTGGCGTAGAGGTCGCTGGGATCAGCTGAGGCTCCAGCAGAAGAAGAGGAAGCTTTCACGCTGCTGTAGGTCACTGTGTTGTTGTCAGGTAGTCTCTGGTTACCAGGTAAATAAATCACAGAGAAATATTTCAGCTCTAAACTTACAGGTTATGTTAATCAGTGTGAACAAATGTTGGTCTGAATGTTCTCACCTCGAGCTCTGATGAGAAGAACAGTAATCACAGTAATTAGGAGGAGTTCAGCCACACGCATAACCAACATTATGTAGTCCAGAGCAGAACAATCTGCACGAGCTGTAGAACAGAAAAAAATCAACAAGAACTAAATAAAAGACTAAATAAAACGTTAGATTAATATGTTTATTATGAGGAGAGAAAGAGGCTGACAGGAAGACAGAGAGACTCCAGAGAAAGATGAGTTACTACCTTGTAGTTTTGTTGCAGTATCGTTGGTTGTTGTTGTGCCTGTAAGTCGAACAAAAGACAAAACACTGATCAGTCCTGGCTAAATAAGCTCTGAAGAGAGCTGCACAGGTGATTGCCCAATCAGCCTCCCTGCCTGCAGCCTCCTGCAGGAGAAGGAAGCAGGAAGGGGGAGGGGTCGTAACATCTCTCACCCACAGTGACTGACGGAGACCCCAAATTATTGATCAGCAGTATGAGATGCAGCCAACAGTAAAGAGGTCAGAGGTCAGAGGTCACAGCAGCCTGACAAAGATCCACCATCTACAAACACATACGACAAAGTCACTGATCACGAGACAAAGGAATATGTTTCTGCACTGAGCCAAACTAACACTGAAACAAACAAACTATATTAAGGCTCAAGTTCACAGTTTGTTCAGTCCGGTGTGTTTGTGACAATGACGAGTTTCATCTCCTTAAAAGAAGAAGAAGAGGAAGTTGACGTGTGAAGATTGTTGGTTAAGATAAATGTTGTTTTCTTCAGAACGTGTCACCCAGTGCAGCAGTGAAGGTCACTGACTGGTTTTAATAGTACTTTTCGTGGGATTTGTTGACAGTCCTACTGGCTTGCTGCTAACTGATGGCTTCAGTAAACAAACACAGATGATTTCACAGTGTGAGATGCAGAGAACTTAAAGTTTGACTTGTTGCAGTTGATGAAACTTCCCTCGATCTAAAACAACTCAGTGTTCAGGAGCATTATATTATGTCCCAGTCAGGACCTGCACAATAACATTAATCAGCCCCTACTGGCCTGAAGGGGAAAATATCCAGATTCAATACTAACCTGACCAAAACACACACATCTGTTTTTTTCATACAAGACATTTTGACACAGCACAGCAGGAAAACAGATTTAAATTAAACAATTAATGATGGCTGGATTCCATTTAGCTGCTTCAGTTTCAGAGTCCTGACAATTAAACACGTCTGCTGTGAAAAAGATCTAAAGGCTCCAACAGTCGTCATGCAGAGCTGCTTCTGAACCGGTCTAACAACCAGACGTGTTTTAAAGCAGATAAAAACACTTAAGTTTTAGTTTCATCTAGTGGGTAACTAAAACTCAGATCGTCCCATTTCCCGAGTTGTGAAGTCATTCTTCTGAGTTTTTCTGTGTTCATGTGCTCTTAAGTCTGAATGTGGAATCAACATGTCATTTACACTGGGGACATGTGTCCCCACCACATTTTGAAATGGCTGATTTTGTCCACATCACTTTTTGAGAGCATTTGTTAATAATGTTCTGAAAAATAGCTTGCACCAAGAAATGTGAACTAACAAATAAAAAGTCTTTGAGAAACGTTTATTTGCAATTTAAATATAGAAAAAACAAATGTGCATTGTCCAAAAATTGCAGCTAAATACTGCATCATATTCTGTTATTTATTTATACATTTACACCTTTAATTTCTTTTATACTATTACAGCAGTGGTTTTAACTTTTATTACAGTTTTATGCACAGCTCCTCTTCAGTTTATCTTTGATTTAATTAATTTAAATGGTCGGGGGGGCAGACGCCGTCACTATGAAGTTTTGGTAAAAGCTGAAATGGAAGCGCAGAGAAGTGTGTAACACTCTGTCTCCTTAAGGGGGCGTTCAAGTTGGAATTTACGACTGGAAACTGGGAAAATCCAACTTCATGTGTCAAATGCAGCATTATTACCTGCTGTTCTGACTCTGCCTGCCTGGATCAAGTAAAACTGAACTTGGTCTTTATATTTCCTGTCTCTGACTCGTAGGAACGGCTTCACCACTGCCAGTTTCCTCTGAAACATGACAGTTAGAATAAACTATATTTAGATTCACACTGAGCCTCAAGTTCACACTTTGTTTTTGTGACAATGACCCGTTTCACCACATGAAAGGAAGACGAAGTGAAGGTGCAAAGAGCTCTGGAGGTGTTAAACCTCTACAGAAATATAGATGTTAAAATGACTGCATATCAAACAATAACAGCTGATACAGAAATAACAGTAAAAACTAATACATGTTTAACTACAACACAGCACTAGCACATTAAAGTGCCTGACAGCAAGTTCATCAAGCTAAATGTCCCATATATTATCATAAAATAATTCAAATAATAAAACATTTATCAGTTCTCAGTGTAAATTACCTGTAATGATATGAGCTGTAACTACACTGTGGTCTCTTATTGTTTGGTTAGTTGACGGTGGCGTAGAGGTCGCTGGGATCAGCTGAGGCTCCAGCAGAAGAAGAGGAAGCTTTCACGCTGCTGTAGGTCACTGCATCATCTTCATCATCACCATCTTTACCCAGAACCTGGAAAAGAGACAAACAGCACAACACAGAAATTACACAACATTAAATGAGAGAAGTGTTTTCATTCACTGCCATCATCACTAGAACCAATCAGACAGCTTACCCGGCATTTACTGTTGGTCTTCCTGGTGTAGCTGATGGAGGCGTAGGAAACACCATCTTCAGGATCAGCCTACACAGAGAAGACAACATAATGGCTGCTCAGTAACATGTGGACTTGATTGTGTTCTGGTCTGTTCTGGTGTCGTCCAGCTGCATCATCAGACTCCCCACTTCTTCTCTTGCAGAAAGAACTTAGATTCAAGAGTCACTGTGTGTCTCATAGAGCTACATTTTGAACAACAAATCTAAAAACAGTGAGTGTAACTTTGTCCTGGGTGTAGTGTGAGATCTCACCGTGTCCTGACTGCTTTCTGGACTCACTGCAGGGTTTAAGCTCCGTCCCTGAAAACAACAAACAAACAGAGTCTACTTCCATGTGGTCAAACACTGGCTCTGTGAAGGCTGTTTAGATTTGGATGACTCTGTCAGAGAGCAGCTGATTCAGCTCTGTCATAAATGTAGAAACATTTGATTACTCAGCCGTAAAACTCACAGTGTTTTCATCCATCTGGGGTTTTTTTCCTGAAGAGACAAAAGAGAGTCGACTTTAGCTTCAACAATAAAAATCCAGGTTCATCAAAACTCCTTGTTTATAATATCTGTGGTTGCTCTCACCTTTAGTTTCCTTCCATCTGATGAGTCCAACAACAATAACAACAGTTATTAAGAGAGCTGCAGCCCCCACAAACCACCACCAACCTGGAAAGAGAATAAAAGAGACAGTAAAAGTCTTTTCTATCATTACATGTTTAGATCACTCATAAAGAAGCAGGTTGAGAAAATGATGCTGTCAGCTGTTTCCTAGTTTTTGTCTCTTAAACTCTTGTTTGGCTGTTATTAAAGATTTAAGCTTTGGTCATAATCACTTTATGAGTCTTTTTATTCAGCACTAAGTTCATCAGTGTCTACTGGCTCTTGAACTGCCATTAAGCTCAGTAGCTCTGGTGGTATCATGTGTTTCCTGTTTGACTTCAAACATAGTAGATATAATAGGGGAGAGCCGGGTATGTTGTCACACTTTTCACACTGTCTAATATTTACTAAGCACCGTAAATCACAATGGTACAAATGTCATACCAAATGAAAGAATGAAGTCTTGGGCAGAAGTTTTGTATCCATTACATCTTCATATCTTATCTCATTATGGAGCTGTAGACTGTTGAATAGAGAGTGTGCACTTGTGACAATTTGCCCCATCTGCAGGTAAGTTGTCACACTGGATTATCAAACAGTTAGAACACTTAATTGTGAATATTGATTTCAATTTCAAATTGTAACCAGAACTAAAAGTAAAATCAATCAACAATCAAACCTAGGGAATTTTGAAAATAAATAATTTAATTCAAAACAAAAATGTTGTCAGAGCAGACATTAAGTGGGACAACCTCTTTCTCAGAAGTTTAACATCAAATGTTTTCTGGAGTGCAAATAGATCTATGGTAATTGAATGTAATGCTGCAGATAACTTGCTTAAATGTATAATTTCTTAACTAAACAGATGTGGTGTTTAAACACACAACAATGTGCATTTTTGTACGACGTACATCTGTATCTGACTAATCAGACTTGTCTTCAGAGTCACAGTTCTGGCACACATAAATTGCCTGGCCTGAGGTGCATTTGTTGCATTTCACACACTTAAACAACGTCTTCTTTTGAATACTGTATGAAAATGGCTCCACATAGATGATGCAAATGTTTTACTTTTGAAGCAAAAAAACAATAAAATTGTGCTCACCTCAGATTAGAGTGACCTTGACCACATGTGAACAGGAAGTTGAACATAGAAAAAGAAGTCACACAAAATGGCTATTTGATTTTTAACATAGTGTTGGAGTTATGAGCAGTGAGACAACTTACACACGAGACAACTTACCCCGCTCTCCCCTAATATAAAGTTATTGTTTTTCAGCAGAATCAGCTTTATTGCCAAGTAGGTTCAAGAAATTTGCTTTGGTGTGTTTGTGCTAAACAAACATGGCAGGTTTAGAAACATAAGAAAGATTCATCGGGTCTTATTTAAAAACAAGAGATGTTTCTGTGTCATATATAGTGACAACGCCCGACAGTCAGAGGGGCCTCCAACTAAATTTTCAATAGGGCCCCCAAAGGCCGGGGGCCGGCTCTGCTTCCTGTATTCTGTATTTTCCTATGATGAAGGGTTTGTTTAGTCTTTGCAGTCACTTAATTAAAGAAGATTTTTTCTGTTTTGCCATAAAATTCCAAAATACTTGTACAACAACGTTTATTAAAATGAATAAAATAAAAAGTAAAATAATGAAGTTCAGTACAGGAAGAGAAAGAGGCTGACAGGAAGACAGAGAGACTCCAGAGAAAGATGAGTTACTACCTTGTAGTTTTGTTGAAGCATCATTGGTTGTTGATTTTGTGTTTTCAGTTGTTGTTGCTGGTTTAGTTGTTGTTGGTTTAGTTGTTGTTGTTGTTGCTGGTTTAGATGTCAGAGATATTGCGAGAGAAAGAAAACAAGAGTAAAGTTCATCACTGTGAAAAGTCATCAAATAAACAAATGTTTTGGTGGTTTTAATCATCTTGAACAGGGGTGTGTTTCCCAAAAGCATCGTTGCTGACTGCGGTAGCAACTTCCTTGGTTGGAACTTTGCAGTTGCGACGCAACTGTTTCCTAAAACCCTAGTTGGAACTACGGAGGTAACTAAGTTGGTAACTTACACGGTACGAACCATCGTTAAGCGACGCAGGTGTTCCCTGAAACCATAGTTCAGACGAACGTTCGCACCAACTGTTGTTAAGTTGCATAGTTGGAACTACAGCTCCTGACCTGTGGTTAGAAGCTTAGTTCACGGTGACTACGTCACAGAGAGCAGAAAATGCAGTGTTAGGAGGTGGATGTGATGTGTTTTAAGCAGGGAATGTTAGATAATCCTGCTGTACAAACATGTTTAGGGTGAATTTTTAAAATAAATGTAGTTGTAAAAGTACTTTTAAATGTATTTGTGGGGTCATGGGTAGGGTTGCATTGATTCAGTAGGCTACTAAGTATCTCAGTGTAGACCATCTACAAACAGCAGGTGTTTTTCTCACAGATTACCCGTCTGCTCACAATAACTTAATTTAATATTAGTCACCCAGTACAAAGGTTAAAGGACAAAACGGAGAATGTAAAGACAAGACTTTTAATATTACCTACATGTATACGTTTCTGGGCCTCTGGGGAAGATGGGTGTTCTCTAGTCTTCATTACAAACATAAAAAGGGACAGCATAAAATCCATGAAAGTACTGTAATGAATAAATCCCTGAGAGTTTTCGTTGCCTTTATAACAAAGATAAATAGAGAACTCACGGGAGTCGTATCTGTCTCAATAGAGAACATGCGTAAGCTCAGACACTTAGCGCACTGAGCTGTTCTCAAAACCTAGATGTCAGATGCCAAGGGATTCATAATAGTGTTACAGTGTTGACACAAAGATACTAAACCTATTTCACTAAATGTCTTGTAATCGCACGTTACCTTACGTGGTTGTTTGGAAAACGCACACCAGCTCAGCATATTCTCACCTGTTTTCTCACCTGAGGACTGAGGGCTGAAGGTGAACAGCTGCACTTTTCCAGAGTAACCATCTGTCACTTCACACTTCAAGTTAGACTTTGATTTGTTACTAAAATGAGAATCCAGGAAAGACACAGCGGCGTAGCAGTCAGCCTGCCATGTTTCCATTTCTTTGTTATCTTTGTCCACATCTTTACCCTCATACAGCCACTTCACTGTGTGACTACAGAACTGTTTATATTTCGACACAGAGCAGGTTAACGTCACCTTATCAGCGTCCTTACGTTCAGTCACTGGTGAAGATGGAGATATTGTGAGAGAAAGACAACAAGAGTAAAGTTAACTTCATCACTGTGATCATAATTATTGTAATGTTTCAGTATATTGTTCTAACAAGACAGTTTGAGCTGAAAACATTATGATGGAAATACTCACTGGTAATAACAGACAGATAAAACAGAGAGTCTGGAGCTTGTTGTCCTGATATGAACTGTTGACAGTAATAACGACCAACATCCTCGTCTGTCACCTTCTTTATAACCAGAGAACAGTTCTCTGTAACACTCAGTCTGTCTGATTTAACTTTGGTGTTTTCAACAATCTGCCCAGAAATTACCAGCTTTACTGTTGTTGTGTATCCTGAATCAATGAAGAACCATCTAGTATTTTCACAGTCTTGCTGACCGTCTATCACATTTTCACAAGGCAAAGTGACGTCATCTCCAACTCTGACAGTGAAGGAGAGGGGAAGTTTTTCAGCTGCTGCTGTTGAGAAAATGATGAAAAATAAAGTGAAATGAGAAAATGTCTGTTATGTTCATAGTTAGTGACGATTATTTCTTTATCCTTAGTTTCCAAGAGTTCACTAAACTCACCACATTAGAAACAACAGATTTGGTTTTCTTAGTTAAATCAAATGTAGCTAATAAAGAATCTTTAATAATATTGATCAAGTTATTTTTACAATGTGCCTTCCATTTATATATGTGATATATGTATTCTTACCTGTAAACTGAAGCACCGCTGTAAGAAATAAAGAAATCCATTTGAACTCAACCATCATGATTCTCTGAGTCTCTCCTTCTTCTGTCTCTTGTTCTCGTGCTCAGAACTGTCTGAGTTTCTAAACTAGTGCTTTAGTAGAGAGACGCAGCAGCTACTTCCTGTGGTTAGGATGATGTCACTTCCTCATAGTGACTTTTAGTCTGTTTTAGATTTCAGTCTCTCTGAATTTCTTGTCGATGTCCAAACAGCCAAAAACTCTTTTTTACATTTTTTACAATGTAAAGGCTTTTACATTTTAGAAATGTAGTTTTCTCTCATCCACAGTGACTGACAGAGACCCCAAATTCTTGATCAGCAACATGAGATGCAGCCATCAGAGTTCACACTTTGTTTGTGACGTGTTTTATCTCCCGAAAAGAAGAAGAGGAAGTTGAACGTGAGAAGATTGTTAGTTAAGATAAATGTTTGCAATGATGCAACTTGTTTTCTTCAGATAGTGTTTATTAGAAAACAGACAGGATCCATGGTGATGTTTGACAGCACACATGAACAGACAGGTGAAGAGTCAAACTCCTCTCCCACCAGAATCTGACTCCTGATGTCCATGGTGCAATATGGTGATACTGTAGCAGCTGCTGAAGAACACAGATAAGATGATATTTTACTGCTCTGAGATCTGCTGGTTCCTCATTTTATCTTCGCAGCTATTTTTGTTCAGAGATCTGAAGAGGAAGTGTTTCTGTGAGAATGTGGTTAACAACAGCAGCAGAGCTCTGGAGGTTTGACCCTTTAATGATGACCA